ATTTGGTATGCTTGTTTGTCTTTGTGTCTATGGTGTAATAATAATGATGTGATTGTGATGCTGTATTTCTGAGTGTTTATGTGCTGCAGAACAGGAACCTGCTGTAAAACAGCAATTATGCTGAGTCAGGCTTGATTTTTAATAATCATTTCCTGTTAAATAAATAAATAAATCAAATCAATATTACTAACAGATGATAACTTCTGTAGCACATATTTTGTCGTACAGGATGGCACTCTAATCCAATGTTTCTCCACTCTGTTTTGATATGTCCTTATTGTTACTGTGGACATTCTTGTCAGATAGTGGTGTAACTTGGGTAATTCTTTAGTTTGGACATAGTTTCACTTTCTAATCTTCTTTGTTCCCTGCTGTACGTGAAGTTGGTCTCTCTCATGTTGAAAATTTATAGGTGTTTCCAGATCTTTAATACAGGTCAAGCAGTAATCAGAATATTTCCATGGTCACGTGTGAATTTCRTTTTTCACTCCCACAACTTCAAAGCAACTATAGATTCAGCTTGGCCTCACTGTGTGTAATAGATACTGAAAGCCAAATGAGTATTTATACTGTAGCTTGTACAAGTTATGGACATAGCATGAAAGAACATGTTCCATAGATCACATTACTGTTCTATTGATACCTGTTTATTTTTTAACTCAAGTCAGCTAAATAAGCAAAGGCCACACATTCACACTCAGCCAGGAATGTACTACATGGAAGCCTCCATGTTGGATTTATGTTGTTCCAAGAAAATAAGTATTTTTGTCATAGACCAGCTCTGTGTTTGATATATTTTCATATTTTCCTTTTTAAGACAGATTATTAAAATATTTTTCTATTACTGTGTATTTCTTTTCTACAGTTAAATCTGGGGTCAAATGTAGGAAGTGTCTTTAACAAAATGAAAACTAAAATATTTCATAAAAATTACTTAAGCATGAGTCTTAACCAACTGTTAAATGTATTTTTTCCCTAAATTCTGCAAAAATACAAGTATTAAATTATCATTAAAAGTACGTTTATGGCAAGGAAATTACTTCAGTATTTTATTGTGCTAGAATAAAGTTTTGAAAGAGAATTACTGGTAAAATATATGATTCATTTTGACATGTG